GGCAATATCTTGACAGATCTGTTTTGCTATCCATACTTTATGCGGGCTAGTAGTTTTTTTGCTATCCATACTTGGTGGTAGTGGTATAAAGCTAGCCACAGGATATGAAGTTTATTAGAGTTTTTTTTATATACAGGGTTATTTTGCAATAACCGGCCAAATTTGTAGAGAAGGTTCAGAATAAGTAAAGGTAAAAATGTATTAAAAAATCTCAATCATTCTGTCCTTTTTATCTTTTAAATTCAAAATGCATGGTAATGCACTATTTTAACTGATTTTACTGCGCACTCACACATTCGTAAGGGTCGATCGGTAGGCAAAAACATTGTTGCCCATAAATCACATTCAATTTGGGATAATTTCAAATAAAAGTAGATGCATTATTTACTCGTATTTTCAAAAACTGCAATAACGGTATATCATTATTTATATATGTTTGAATTTAAGTTTAAAATTTGGCTACTCTTTGAAAAATAACCCTTTATAACTAAAGTAACAAACAAACATACAGTCGACCTCATGGTAAGTGGCCACTGCGGCCCATAAACACCTGCAACTAACTCCTATACATACGTTGTCACCTCTGAGGACTAAGATGGAATGCCTTACAGCCTGTAATCCTTTAGACCGGAGCGCGGCAGTGCGCAGATGTAGGTAAAAGGGTGGTACTTGTTCTGAACGATTTCTAGGTAGAAAAGCAGTGCTACTAAGTAAACTTTTGCCTATATTTTGACATTTATTCTTTTATTCGTGCGCTATCATTCATAAATAGGATGAAATACAGCCTTTATACGTCCCGCAGCTCGGCACAAGACTCCTCACATTTTTGACAGGGTTTTAGATTATGGAAGTGTACAACGCTCTGCCCCAATGCGTGGTCGGACGTCACGTTTTCGATATTTTTTTTTAAATGCAGGCTTCCTTACGATGTTTTCCTTCACCGTCGAGGAAGTGGTAAATAAGCACATAAAATTGCAAATATCAATTTCATTACTCTCGGGATTAAACCTGGGTATGGCTTTCTTTTTGTTTAGATCGGCGGCTATGTTATTTATTTTATTTATAAAAACAAAAACAAAATATAGAATCCTATACTGCAATCGTATGTGAAGTAATTATTCAAATTATATTAAGTCAAAATTTTACCTCTCTGTTATATAAGTGTTATTCAGTATGTTGTGTAACTCTGATATTGGCTAAATGTATACGTATTTTTAAATATGACTGTCAAAAATTGCTGTTCAGTGTCCTAAGAAAAATGAAGTAAAAAATTAAAATTATAATGGCGGTTTCTTAACCAAAGTTTCTTAACCCCTGAGCTACCACGACATTAGTAAGGGGTAAATAGGATAACTTCATCTAAGTTACGCCAGGTGATGGGCACACGTCTCCTCTCATGTTAGAGGGATATAAAGTTGCGGTGAATCAACACACCCATATCATCCCGTGGCTGTCGTTAGAGGTGACAGAGGGAAACTAAAACAGAAGATAGGCCGCGGCATCTATTGCTTAGTTTGAAATAATAAAAAAAACTGCAATTACAAACCGTATGCTACATTCGGAAACTATGGCAAATATCTCCCGTATGAGACAGTCTATGGGTTCAGGCCTATGTTCAGAAATGGACTTATGATGGACGGTAAAGAATGAATGAATATGATGCAGTTCCATCCATTACAGCCTATAAACGTCCACTGCTGAACATAGGCCTCCCCGATTGCCTCATTGGTATTTGCCATGGTTGTAATGTTACTGTTTATTTGAAAATTTCACCTCTCAGTGAGTCATGTCGTTCTGGTAGATTATCTTCTATACATCCATCCATTATAGCCTATTAAGGCTCAGTGCAACATAGGCCTCCCCCATAGATTGCCTCATTGGTATTTGCCATAATTGTAATGGTTACAGTAGTGTAGTTGTACCACTTCTAGACCACCTGAGTCAGACGTGGTTCAACGACGTTCGTCGACGCCCGATCCTTAAAAAAAAAAAAAAAAAAAAAAAAGGTTTTGGCATGCTCTGATCACGAATCCGCGGTCCATTTTTGTGTAGAATGCACGGTTCCGGAGATGTGTACATCAATGGAGGCCCTTACCGGATATCAATTAGATATTAGCTAATTGATATCCGGTAAGGGCCTCCACCGTCATTAGCGTCCCATTGTTCCTATTTCTATTGTTCTATTGTTCATTAATCACCCTCATTGCAGCATGTGCGTCGACTATATCAGTGCTATTGTTTATTATAATTCTTTGTTTATACAACGCTAATCTGAATCATCAATAAAACACATTACATAATTTTGTTACAATTTTTATTTATAAAATACAAAATCTTATTAATTATTATCTATAAAATAGGAGCGAAACATCTCATCCACTAAAATATCGTTGTACAATGTGTTCCTTCATTAATCACCCTCATTGCAGCGTGTGCGTCGACTATATCAGTGCTATTGTTTATTATAATTCTTTGTTTATACAACGCTAATCTGAATCATCAATAAAACACATTACATAATTTTGTTACAATTTTTATTTATAAAATACAAAATCTTATTAATTATTATCTATAAAATAGGAGCGAAACATCTCATCCACTAAAATATCGTTGTACAATGTGTTCCTTGTAAATATACTCGTAAAACTATGTATTCAACATCCTTGAAACTTATATAGTAAATACATTAAGCAATATTCGCCACAAACTGAAGTCCACTCATTCTGAATCCTATCAACATTCCAGTTCCATCTTTTACAATTCCTTTTTAAAAACTCTAGATGATATCGTACAGGTGATCGTCCATATGAATCAAAATATTGACCGACGTCATTCGTATCGATATATAAAGCTACCCAATGTGACCCTGGTTTATCATCTGTATCCAAATTACATATTATATACGTTGGTACGTGGGTATACATAGGCAGTCTATTAGCTGCATAAACATTATTTTCTAGACTGGGGTGAATCTTTTTCAGATGTTGTTGTACATCTAGTGTATCCATGATATTACTGCTATTAGTAGATTATTACAGTACCTAGCTACTCAATGAATAACATAGGAATGGTCAATTATAGTGATTTCTACATATTAAATTGCATTTTTGTGATATACAAATCGTACTTGAGTCATTGATCACCAAACAAAACACAATACGAAGAAATGTTGAGATAGGCAACGGAAATGTGAGATAAACTGATATGTTTCTAAATATTAAATTGCATTTTTGTGTTATACAAATCGTACTTGAGTCATTGATCACCAAACAAAACACAATACGAAGAAATGTTGAGATAGGCAACGGAAATGTGAGATAAACTGGTTGACGCATAAAGTAATTATCAACTCATTACGGAAATACTTTAGATTAGAATTTTTACGTACTGGTGGTATATAAGACCAACAAACGCAGTCATCGAGTTAGTGTACGGTCGTTTGGCTACAGTGGATCTATCAATAGTACATTTGTGTTACTTCAATACACCAAAGGCTATGGATGTAAGTGTTTATTCTATTGACTAAATTACTTTTTTTCTGTTATTTTCTTGTGTGTGTGTATTATTTTATTTAAATATTGTGTATGTATATGATTAAGCCGTGGTAACTCAGATGGTTAGCGCTAGCTGTAAATTTCACAGTACGCGACCCGGGTTCGATCCCCGCCAGCACCAATTAAATTGTTAATAGCAATTTTAAGTGCTTATTACCACGTGCTTGGTGGTGAAGGAAAACATCGTGAGGAAACCTGCATGTCTGAGAAAATTTCGAAGGCATGTGAAGTTCACCAACACACATTGAGGGAGCGCGGCGGACATTTCCTTGCTCTAAAACCCTCTCAGAAATGAGAGGAGGCCTATGTTCAGCAGTGGACTTTAATAGGCTGTAACTTTAACTTTTTTAACTTTTATGATTAAGTGTTAACAAATTGATATTAACATGATAACTGTGTTGTTGCAGAAATCATTGAGCTTCGATGAAGATACCTATAAACAGTATTACTACTCGCCACTCTCCCCTCAAGAAGAGAGTGATAACCTCGTCATTAATAATAACACATGCGATGGTGGAAAAAGAAAATCGCAATCGATTGATCATTTTTTTGAAGCTGAATCAAAAATAAAAAAGAGGAAGCTGTTATCATCAACCGTAGCACGAGCCGCTAGAGATGGTGTATCATACATTTCTACTAATTCTGACGACGGAGACCAAGCGACGCATCTCATCAAAATTGAAATGTACGATATGAAGAAGCTATCCAAGATTCCAACTACTGATCATTGGAAACATGCTTCCACTAGAATTAAATATTACGTAAAGACTAATAAGGATAGCATCTACGACAACACAAACGCCCTCGTATACAATATAACAAAGACAATAGCAGGAAGTGAAAAAGTTAAAAAATACTTTTTTAACAATGACAGTCATTAGCTGATCATTAGTGAATGTGATTCTGTTTACTTCAATTACAGGAAGACAAGAGCGGAAGGAAGAGATGAGTGTGGCATACGTGTACAAAACACATCATTGAATAACAAAACTACAACACTGAGTGGAGAAGAAAACGAGAAGAGTATGCAGTACTCAAGAGCTGAATATCCATTCTTCAGTTCAAAATCTAGCCGTTTGCTTAGTTTCGAAAACTGGCCTCTAGTTATGCGACAGAAACCTGAAGATCTTGCCGAAGCTGGTTTCTTTTATACTGGCCATGCAGACGGGACCAAGTGTTTCCATTGTGGTGGTGGTTTAAAAGATTGGGAAGATGATGATGATCCTTGGCAGCAGCATGTTCAGTGGTTTAGTCAGTGTGCTTATGTAAAATTTCAACTCGAACAGTGTTTTGTATTAGATTAAATAGAAGATTTATAAAGAAATAAAAAAAATATATTGCATACAATTTGTTTTATTTAATTTTATAACGTTTCACATAGTTACATACACACAAAATGCATTACACATAACACATAAAATCTAACACACAACACATATTATAACCTTAACTACTATAGTCTACAGTAACATTTCTGTTTTTATCTATCTCAATAATATTATCAAACTCAGCATAAACTATACAGTTAATTGTTTGTATTAATGAGGATTCAAATCGTACTTCTATTCTTACACTACCATGCTTTATGAGATTCCAATGAGTTGATGAGTTAGCTGATAAATCAGGAGTTAAGTCAAATGCTAATATACAGTAACCTTTGCCATACTGTTCACAAGAGATTCCATTTCCTTCATTAAGAAAGTGAATACCAGTTCCCGAGAATAGAGTATGATATGCTGATGTAAATATGCTATTATTAAAAGATGGTTGCAAAGCTTTTGAAGGTATTTGTTGACCATCAATATATAAGCTGAAAGAATTAATACCATAGTTTTCAAAGTTAAATGGATTTTTAGTAAGGGAACCATTAAATGCAGAATTGTTCACAAATCCAATTATACATCTTTTCGGTACCTGTCCTAAAAATATATTATCAAGAGTTTTTCCTTGAACACCTGAAGGAATTGTTAAAACTTTTACTTCAGCTCGAGTAATAGGATATTTAGCAGTGGTAGAAGCTAAAACTTTTTGATGTGCGAGTAATACACTTGGATTAATTCGTGCTCGTCGCACAATAAGAGTTGCGTCCGTAATGCAAACTTTAAACTTTACATCGTTCGACCCAACAATTAAATTAAAACTCTCTCTTGATCGAACCAATTTAACACTCATTTCAACACCATTAATTAAAAATTTATCTTGGTTAAAAATGTCACCGTGAAGATGACCAATCATTTCTATTTCCTTACTTTCACTAATCAATTCCTGTCTTTTAACAAATCCTATGTTTTTACCATCTGTAGAATCCATTTTTCCTGCTGTATCCTCATACCAAAGACTACAAGTAAGATGAGATTGTTTAGCAGCAGGGGCATAGTTTAAAAGGGTTTCCATGTATGCTCGATATGCATAGGTATTATTAGGTGGTGATACAAGTTTTTGGTTTAAATAAACATCAAGTTGACTAAAAAGTGAATGCAGCCAATTATTTACAGGTGCTACTATTGTAGTAGATACCAAGTTAGTTGAATCTTGATTTAATACTTTTGCCTTTATGTGGAGTAATGTATGAGACAAATCTATGTAGTCATCGCCGGTCCCAGGAACTTGAAACTCGATAGGTCCATCATCACCAAGAGATGAAATTGGTTTATAATGAATCCACAATCCATTTTCAATGCTAGTTTGTGTAGACGGTAGTGCAAACAAATCCAATTCTGACTTAACGCACTCGCAAGAATGATTATGAAGGAAAGACATATTTAGTTTGAAAATATATCTTTGATATTTTTTGGTTTTAGACTAAGTTTTTTCGCAGCTTTCACTTTAGCAGTTAATGGTGGAATGAACGATGTCAATCGTTTTCTTTTAGTTTTATACCCAGATCCAGTCATGTTAAATTGATCAATTTTCTCATCAGCCTTTCGTTTTAAATTCGTACTAACTTGCTTTAGACGATCTTTTATTGAGGCTTCCATAGGACGGGCTTGAACCATATCCGATAAAAGTCCTACTCCAGCGCTTAATGCCTCCTTACCAATCACTCGAGCACCACTTGAAAGTAAAGGTAAAACTGATCTGAATAACCCCCCTAAGAAGCTCCCAATACCATGACCGCGTTGATATGGTGAACCCTTATAAATTACTCCAACTCCTGATCCAGCTTGATGTGTATAATAATTTTCATATGGACATTTATGATGATCACGAAGAGAATTCATTATTATAATTTTCGGAAATGTAGTTTAATACACACGGTTCCAAACTGGAATGGTATTTTTTGTCCTGTACTCGATCTTATAACTATTTCCAACGTATCGAACTCTCTTCGCATAACAGGTAAGTAGTGAGGTTGAGAGAAAACGTGCATTTTATTTGCACCATAAATGTATTTTGTAGGATCTAATGAAATGACTCTTAATAAAGGAGTCATAACATCACCCACAATCTGAGGATCGATAATGTCGCAATATAGAAATAGTTGAGATGGTAACCCTAAGTGTAAATTAGCAGGACACTTTCCAAAATTTCTCTCTAGGAGATTTTTATTTGGTTCATAACCTAGCTGTAAACTTAATTTGGGTGATAATGTTACGGATGTTATATTTTTATCCAATACCGAAATAGACACAAATTTTGTTATTTCATCATAGCGAAATTTCAAGTTCTCTCCGATACCATTTAACACTCTTAAAATATGCTCAACGTTATCATAGTTGGTAGCTGGAATATGTTTTTTGTAGTACACTGTGGATGGCTTATCTTCATTAGGCATTAACATAGATTTTGTAATGTATATAACATTTTCATGGTCTTGAACAGTAAACATGGTACATGGATATTGAAACTCGACAACTCCAACCGACCATTCACCTTCTAATTTTATAGCTTTTGGTAATTTCGTTGAAAAATTTGTGGTCTTGTTATCAGGAAAGTATTCCATTGAACTATTGCTGAGCAAAGTTAAATAGAAACTTTCTTTATTCATATTTCTTTTAAACTAGAAGCTAAAATCCAACTGTTAAATTTATCTGGATAACCTTTCCACTTCACTAATACTTCTTTTCTGTTACTTGAATAACGAGTGTCAATTATTTTATCTATTTTATGTTGTGAGGTGGGGTTGTAAGTGATTTTCTGTAATTCTCTTTCATAAAAAGTACCAATTATTGGTTCATTTTGTAAATCTGTTATTGTATAAACAACCCATGGAGATCTATCAATTATTGAAGATATAATAAATATTTCATCACTCCAATTTGATTCATATCCTTTTTGGAATACCTGTTTATATTTAGTTATTCGAACATAATCACCCACATTGAAATTTGGTTTAGGATTTTCTAAAGAAAGTTTTTTTGACCGTCTATCATAAAGATTAGTCCAAACTGTCATAATATTGTTGGAATTTACATCACATGGGCACATCTTAATACTAGAGTGAAAGCTGTGATTATAAGAGTATATTAAATCTTGTAAAACATCTATATATCTATAAGTATTATTATGAGTGAAATAACGCCACATTTTCATTTTTAGTGTTCTTTGAAATCGTTCAACAATACTGGCCTTAATGTCAGGATTGTTAGTGGTATAGTAATTAATCTTTTTGGATTTAAAGTATTTTTATACATCTTTTGAAACAAATTCTGTACCTTTATCGGATTGTATGTGAGTAGGTGTTAAATTACTTTCAGTAAATATACTTTCAAAACATTCTTTAGTTGTTTCTGAGTTTTTCTTTTTCATTGGTCTTGCAAAAGCATATTTACTAAATACATCAATAATACAAAGTATATACTTGAAACCATCATTATATTGAGAATAAGTTCGCATATCACTTAAATCAGCTTGCCACAGTTCATTAATATTTGATAGAATGTACCTATTACGCGGGAATTTTTTTCGAATGGGTTTATTTAATGTGTATGTTTCTTGTGATTTTAACCATTCCTTTACTTGCTTTTTATTCATTTTACCCTTCATGGCTTTTGATAATTTATCAATACTACCAAAACCAGCGGGATTAGATGGATCATAATAAATCCTGTTAATTTCTTCTAGTACGGAGTCCATTTTTCCCACTCAAGTCCTTTACGTATTTTAGTTGTAGACTTTTTATCTCTACTGCACGGTGTAGAAAACTCTTGAACTTCAATCTCAGAGGGTTTGTTCAGATCTTTTGCTTGAAGTTGGTTAATAAACTCACATCTCCTTGGATTTCCAATATAAGTAAGTGGTACTTTAATATCTTTTAATGCTTCAGCAAATCTAACCCACCCTACCGGATCACTTCTTTTTAGGGGTCTTAGTGAATCATTTATTAAATCAACAATATTACTTCCAGGAATTTTTTCACTATCAATTATGACTGTACCTTCGTTATCCCAATGTATTTTACTTTTACTTGTTTCAACTAAGTTTAATAATAACTGCCCTTTTTTATGATAAGTTTTTGGTATTAAACTGAGTATTTGAGCTGGTGTGTAAAGTGGATTTTCATCATTTTCTTTACTTTTAATGGATCGATTCTCCTCCAGCAAAGATTCAATATCAACTGAAGTTTTTAGATCTCTATCTTTATTTTTAAAACCAATTTTTGACTCATTTGAATCTTCATTAGATGTATCAGAATAAATTGGTAATTTGAGTGGTTGACGATCCTCTTCGGTAAAATGAAGGTATCTTTGCAGTGTTTGTAAATATAATATCCATTTCTTTCGGTCTTCCGTCTTACTATTCATAATATTTTGCATTTCAATATCTAATCGAGATAAATTACTATTAACCTTATTTTCTTGTTTTAATTTTTCAATCAATCCAGGTTCGATAAGTATCATTTTCTTTGCATTTTCCATGTTAACTGGCTAGTCCACTCACTAATCCACTCAATATTGCACCTAATATTGTTGGTAAGAAAGCCCCTCCTTTTTGTATAATTATATTTTTTCTTAGTTTATGTTTACACTTACGTACTAGTTTACGGAGTATGTTTTTATGTTTATTCAATTTTTGTTTATCCTGATCTTTAAGAGGTACTTTTCCTTGTAAAACGTTATGAATACACTCACAAATACAGTTAATTTCTTCTTCATCACACGTTTTAAGTAATGCTCTTTGATATTTTGGTTTAAGCGTATGCAAAGCGGTTAGCAAATGTTTATACGTTGTGAGTCGACGATGCATCATTTAGCAATGATTTCAATTGTTTGATTCTTGGTGTATTTAAACTCTTTTGTGGGGACGTAGACTGTACAGAAACCATTAAATGGAAAGACATTTGTCTTGATACGACAAAAATCATTGGTATTCTGTTTTAAATCTACCATTAAATATCCATGCGCCTCTAGAGTTGCATCCCTGTAGGCATTTTCAATGAATTTTGGGTTATCTGGTGATACTTGTCTTGCTAAATATCTTATTTGAGTTTTATCTCGAGGGTTTTTAAAATATATTATATAACTTGAGTTTAAAGATATGTCTCTTTGTCCTTTACCCTGATGAAATAAATTTTGTGTTAGATAAAATACACTAAGATTCCTGTGATGACTACCTTTTGTAAATATATCCACAATTCTTCAATCGGACTCTCTCATTAGATCATCAATAATAACAAGATGTGGGTTTTCACCATCAAACATATTAAGATTTGGAATTCCTTGATGATAGTTAACATTTGGTAAATTATATAATGGTTGCATTTCATCAAAGCACCATGTGATCTGATTAAAATCACAATTACATATTTCTGTAACTGATTTTATGAAATTTGTTACAAAATTTGACTTCCCACACCCACTTGGTCCTGCCACAATAGCAGTGAACGGATGGATAAAGTGAAACATAACACACGTCTAAAGTTCAAAGGGGTGAAATAAAAAATGAAAGTGTTGGTGTAAACAATTAATATATATTCCAAAAATTATATAAAACAGAATTATCTGTATACTATTTCTAACACAATTAGTACATCATAATTTTACAATTAACTCAACCTCAAATAAATAGAAACAACAATTAGTACATCATAATTTTACAATTAACTCAACCTCAAATAAATAGAAACAACAATTAGTACATCATAATTTTACAATTAACTCAACCTCAAATAAATAGAAACAACAATTAACTTAAATTATTTACAATAAAACAATGTTTAAATATGTAATAAACTACGTCATATTATAGTATTATCATAATTTTACAATCAATATAAATTTTTCTTAAACGCAGACATAAAAGTAAAAACTATCAACACTTAACGCAGTTTATAATGACCCCAAGCTAATGTTTCAATATTATTATCTAAAATATGTCTCTTTGTGTCATTATATGATAAACCTATCTTATTTAATTTTTGTGTGAAAATTGTGTGTTTAATTGATTTAAATCTAAGCATGCTATAATATTGCACTTTTTTATTAAATAGAGAAGACTTATAACTATTCATTGTCATCTTTTTAGTGATACATTTATTTACCCCTTTTGCCTTGGCTATAGTCTTATTCTCTAAGTTAAAAGCGTACATTTTGGATCGTAAACCCACAAATTCTTTCATGATTTTACCATTATTTTCATCTTTAAAAAAACCTAATTTCTTTTTATTTAATTTTGGATATTCAAAAATATTATTTGTATCATAATCTGAGGTATCAAAGTATGATGAAAGGTCAGGTTTTATATCAGTGTAAAAATCATTTGTAAATATATGATATATTAAACTATCCGTATCTGTATACAATAATTTGATTTTACTAAAC